ACTAGATGACTTCTAAAGTCTCCTTGAGTTTTTCATCCTTCCAGTGACAGCAGCCAGGGTAAACAATGGGCAGGTTCTGGTGCAATTACAAAGGCTGGTAGCCCAGTTCCATAATCCCTTCTTTTCCACCTGGAGTTGTGTAGAAGGGATAGGTCATTTTTTCTACTTGAAAATATAAGATGCTACCCTAGAGCTTGTGAGCTTTGGCAGCATAACGTGTGTTCAGGATATAGAAGAGGGCAGAGTGGCCAATGAGAGGCATATTGACATCATGCGAGAGCTGCTGAAGCCTGGCAGAGCTCTCATCCCATTTGCTGGGTGAGCTACAAGGTAACAACTGAATAGGGAGGGTGTGAGTACTTTCTGCGGACTGTTGCCTTCTTTCCCTAAGTAAACTGACCTCAGAGTCTTTTTTTTTTTTCTGGGGCAATAACATATAGACCCCAAAAGTTGTGACATCTTCTGTTGCTTGAGAAAATAGAAGCTTCCTAGGTTTAACTTCAGTGGCAGTATAGTGTAGGGGCAAGCTTGCCTGCCATAGTCTCAAGGAATCCTGAGTTTTAATCTTGCCTTAGATACTTAGATAGATGTATTGCCTTGGGCAAGTCAATTAACCATTCTGGGCCTCAGTTTCCTCATATGTAGAATGAGGGGATTGTAATCAGTGGTATCTAAGATTCTTTTGAGCTCTAAACTTTTTGTCTTATGATATCCTGTCTTCAACCAGTGAAGGGAGGGATTCCACGCATTTCTGGTTCTAAGACCCATACTATGGGGAGAGTATTTCTAGAAGCTTATGGATGTTAAGTTGTTATGCCACCCTATGCCCCCTCAGCTTCCTGCAGGACTGGGTCCTTGTCAACCCCTAATCACAACAGTGGTTGTTTGACCTTTCTATTTAAAAGAATTAATCAAGATGGAACTATCAGCTGGTCCTAGTCAATGGTCTCACAGCACAGAATGTGAAGTAGGCCCATGTGTCTTTTCTACTGTTTCACTAATGTCCCAAATGTCCAAGAACATTCATCGAATAAGAGACATCAGCTGGCATGAAGGTCTGTTAATGTATAATTGGCTTAATGAAGACCATAGAGAGAATGAGACTAGGTTGAGATATCTCTTAAAATGACAAAAAAAAATAAGCTGATTCATATGAGGCTCAGGAGAGGCTGTGATGAGAAGGGGAAATTGATAGAGATGAGTTTTGGTGATGAAAAATCACTGCATTATTAACATATTTGGTCATCTGAGTTCAAGAGTTTGAATTAAAATACATTAACAGCAAAATGGATAAATTGCCCCAAGTACTATGCCCAATTAAAATGGGATATGGGGGTGTTCTTTCTTATGGATGAAGATGTTGCTTAAGGCCAAAATTTTGTGATGCTTTTCCAATAGTGGAGCTGGGGTCACACTCTTTCCTCCATTTCCCCTCATGACAGCCTGTGTCTCCATCTGTTAGATTGTTGGCCAGGGTCTGCACTATAAGTGATTGGCCATTGACCAGAGAAATCACTCTTATAGCATTATCTGGTTTATACTGTGAAATTTAGAATGTCCTTTAAAGAATGATCAAGGTAAAAGGAAAGCTACATGAATAAAAGCTGATGAATGTGATCACCACTAACTTAGGGTTTTGATGGGAGCTTCCCTTCTCTTTTCTTTATATATCATTTTCTTCAGCCTTCACTCTCCTTGATATCTCTGCAGTATTTAATACTCCTTAAACTTTCTCTGTCATTGATTTCTTTTTTTCTCCTTTTGGCCCAGAACTCTGGGCCTAGGCCTGGGCTCTCTTCTCGGTCCTGCTTGAGTGTGAAATTCAACAATAGTTAAAACCAGACTCCTCTTCCTCCCAAAATAGTTTTCCATCCAGACTTTTCTATAGTATTATTATTTTACCAGTGACCTAAACTCAAGATTTTGGAATTACCCTTGACTTATCCCTCTCCTTCACCCCTCTTAGTCAATTAATTACCACATCCTTTCAGCTCTCTTGATCACTCCCATTGAGGTGAATGATGTGAATACAGCACTGGAGCTGGGAAGATCTAAGTTCAAATCTGGTCTCAGATACTTACTAGCTGTCTGACTCAGGGCCAGTCTCTTCATCTCTCTGTGCCTTAGTTTCCCTGACTATAAAAATGATAGAATAATAGTACTTTCCTCCCAGGGTTGTTGTGAGGATCAAAGGAGACAAGATTTGTAATGCACTTGGCACATAGTAGGCACTTAATAAATGCCTGTTTCCCCTTTCCCCTACAACCACTTTATTTTAGGCCTACCTACATCAGCACATTCATGGATTATTGCAATATTTCAGCCTTAAAACTGGTCTCTCTGCCTTGAGTCTCACTCCCTTCCAGGCCATTCTCTATTTGACCACAAAATGACTGATCCTAAGACACTGCTTTTGTCATTTCACTCCTCTGGTGAAAAACCTTCCATGGCTCTTCTGATTACTGGATAAAACTCCACCCACTTGATCTTGGCTTTTAAGACCCTTTACAGTTTGACCTCTACCAGACTGGGTTTTGTTTTTTTTTTTTTGGCTCATGCCAACCATGAGTCCCTCCGCTTCCCCCCACTAGGAATGCCCTTCTCTCTCCTTTTTTGCCCATTTAAATTCTATACGTCTCTCAAGCTCTTGGTCATATCCCACCTCCTTCAGTCTCTGATGATATCTTTCTCCTTTGAGTTACTTCCTTCTAGTAGTAGTAGTAGTAGTAGAACACATTTATATAGCATTTTAAGACCTGCAAAGTGCTTTACAAGTATTATCTCATTTGATCTCACAATAATCCTAGGAGGTAGGTGCTATTATTTTGCCTGTTTTACAGATGAGGAAATTGGAAGTTGAGAGAGGTTTAATGACTTGCCAGCGGTCATACAACCAGTAAGCATCTGAGGCAGGCCTTGACTTCTTGGAGTTTTCCTTATCCCAGGTCCAGAGCTCTAGCTCCTGAGCAGCTAAACTGCCTTGACAAGTTGCTGATTTGTGTGGGTGGTGGGAATTTCTACACATGGAGTTCTTCATGCTGATGAGCCCTGCGCTCCTCTCTTTTCCAAATTATAACATAGAATTTAAGCTCATCTGCTTCTCACCAGCCTAAAGGTTACCCTACCTATCTTCAATTACCAGGCCAGAAGGAATGAAATTTGTGTGTTAAGAAGTGCAGAATTAAGGACAACTTGATGGGGTGTGACCTCATGTAAGGAGAAGAAATAATACAGGTATGAAAGGAGAGTCTGGGTTGTGTTAGTAATGAAGGGAAGACATCACTGTGGACAAGTATTTTAAGTGGAACTTTGAAGGAATCTAATATGTCGGCACTCTGCCTCATGGCATATGTATTGGAGGGGAGAGCTTAGGGATTATGGGAAAGAATGATGAGGGTCTTGATAGATAACCAGGGCTTGTTTCTTTGGCATTATGACCTCTCAGGTAGGGGGACCATGAGAATGCCTTTTAACCCAGTACAGTACTCTTGAAGGCCTGATAGGCTCCTGCAGGGAAGACCGTTGATGAGGATAAGCACCTTAATGTTATTACAACTGTTCCCCATCACCATCTTGAGGCCAAAGGACTCTCTACCAGACCAAGGGCCCAGTTTTCACCCTGCCATTTAACACTCTGCGTATAGTCAAGCGAAAACTAAATGGGCTTGGAAAAATAGTGATTTCCTGCAGTGTGGCACAGTGGAAAAAGTATTGGCTTTGGAGTCAGAGGACCTGAGTTTGAATTCTGTTTCTGGCATTTATTACCTGTGTAACAGGAGTTCCAAGTATTCAAGAAGTGACTTGGACAAGTCACTTTTCTCTGGGCCTCAGTTTCCTCAACTGTAAAATGAGAGGGTTGGTCTAGATCAGTGCTTCTTAAACTGCAAGTTGTGACCCCACGTGGAGTCGCAAAAAATTTGGCAACAGTAAAAAATTTCTGAACACGAAACGACCAAAATTAATTAAAAAACAAACACATAATGAATCCTAGGTGTTTCTGGTAGTGCCTGTCCATGTTGCATCACAGAACTTTACCACAGGCTTGGTTCTGAACACAAAGTATGCACACTTTGCAGTGTGCGTGCCCTTGGGCCACGCAATGGCCAACAAATGTGGCCAAAACAAAATGGGGTCCCCAGTGGAAAAAGTTTAAGAAGCCCTGCTCTAGATGATTTCTGAGGTCCTATGTGTGACCTTGTGCTAGTCTCTTTACTCTCTGGGCCTCAGTTTCCTCAATTGTAAAATGAGAGCAATAGACTATATAATTTGGAAGGTTCTTTCTAAGTCTTATTAAGTTCCTGGCTATGCCTGAGAGGGACTGGCTTTAAGAGGTGTGGGGAGGGGCAGCTAGGTGGTGCAGTGGATAGAGCACTCACCCTGGAGTCAGGAGGACCTGAGTTCAAATCTGGCCTCAGACACAGGATACTCACTAGCTGTGTGACCCTGGACAAGTCACTTAACCCTGATTGCTTCGTGCGAAAAAAAAAAAGAGAGGTGTGGGAAGAAAATGAACTGAAAGGTTCAACATTTAAAACTGGGTACTGGGGCTGGGAAGGAATACTGCTCATCAAGGGCTACATTTATTGGCAGATTTTTTTGCAGAACATCAGACCTCTCCCAGCCTGCAGTGCAGACAGAGAAAGCCTCTTCTCAGAAGTGCCTAGGCACTGCTCCCCCTCTCCCACCATGGAGAAACTCGGGCATCAAAGACTCATCCTGTGGGTGGAGGAGTAGCAGTAGCAGCATCCCTTGGCAAGAGTCCAGCGATTTGGGCACCAGGGGATTCAAAGGACCTGCTGGGCAGAGGCTGGCCCATCCTGGTGCCTTAGCACATGAGATAACTTTTGGAGGTCATTCTCCTCCTCAGCTCTCCTGCGCTCACCAGAATCTATCGGGCTGGAGATGAGAGGGAGTCATCCGCATTGCATCAGTTTGTCGATGGCACTTTATTCCCTTAATAGCCCCCAAAATTAATAGCACAAACAATTCCAGTCCAGTACCTGATTTCACCTTCTCTAATGTGGCCTGCCAGCTCTTCGATAAACTTCTCTCCTTTCATCCAGTAGATCATTGGTCCTGACTCACCGCTGAATCCAAAGAAGGCTTTGCATGGGATGTTGAGAGGTTTACCTGTGGGTAAGAGAGGGAAGAAGGAAAAGAGAAAGGAAGGGAGAAATGGAGAAATGGGTTTTGATTACTGCTGACAGACGGGAAAGGGCTGCTCAAAATGAAAAGTCAAAATTGGAGGTGACCCCATCTTCATTTGCTAAATGATGATGAGACCTCTTGGAAAACCACTACAAATTCCAGGCAGTAATCAAGTTATTTCTAATTCAATTCTTAGAACATCACAATTTCCTCTTTCTCTTTTGCTTTCAACAGGGGTGGGGAACCTGTGGCCTTAAGGCTACAAGTGGCCTGAAGGCCTCAGGTTCCCCACCCCTGGCCTGCAGGAAGGCGCACCAACCAGCTAACTCCCCTCAGTCTCCCTTCTCAGGCTAGAGGAAAACCCATTAGCTCCTCTTGGATTGTTTCTGCTTCTAAAGCACCTCCCACACCCCCTGTGCCCAGCTCAGCATGTGCCCAACACTCTCTTTAACAGACCTCTCCTCAGTCTGGCTGCTGCTTTCCCACCACTTTGTTCTCAGTTGTTTATTACTGATATGAAAGAATGGTTAATTACTAATGGTAGTTGTTTCCTTTTTCTTGGCATGGTACAAACGGCAATTACTAATGGACCAGCAAGCATTTATTAAGCACCTACTACGTGTCAGGCAAACAAAAATAAGTGAAGGATGGTCTGCCCTCAAGAAGCTCACATTCTACTGGGGGTAGGGGCAGGGAGGAGGTGGGGAACACACATATGTACCTAGCTAGGAGAGATGCTTCATTTCTATGGCTAGGTTGGCAGCCACTGCTGGAGAGGCAGCAGTGCAGTGGAGAGAACACCAAAGTAGGAGGTGAGAGGCCTGCCTTTTGGCTTTGCCACCGACAGACTTTTGGACCCTGGCCTATCTCAGAACCTCAGTTTCCTCCTAAATAAAAAAGGGTAATAACCATAGCAACCAGCATTTAGATGGCACTTTAAGGTCTGCAAAGCACTTAACATGATCTGTTCCTCACAGCAACTCTGTAAAGTGAGTATCACGGTTATTGGGCTCATTTTACAGATGAGGAAACTGAGGCAAAGAGATGAAAGAACTTGCCAGGATCAGAGAACTAGTGATAATAGCTAGCATGTCCACAGCATGTTAAGGTTTGCAAAGCACTTTATACACATTTTCTCATTTGATCCTCACAACAATCCTGAAAGGCAGATGCTATTATTATCCCCATTTTATTGATGAGGAAACTGAGTAGATGGAAGGTAACCTCAGAGGGGAAGGTCTCCTCTGAGCCTAAGCTACTAGAGCCTTTCCCTATGAGGTTACCCTCCATCTACTCTGTATGTATGGTATGTACCTATGTATAAAAATATTGTCTCCTCTACTAACGTGTAAGCTCCTTGAGGGCAGGACTCTGCTCACCTTTGTCTTTTTATCTCTAGTACCCTTCACAGGGCCAGGCACACAATATATGCATTTGATTAATTGGGGTAGCATGGCATCATTCTGGCCTTGCAGTCAGTAAGACATGGCAGCTAGGTGGCAAAGGAGATTGAGTGTGGGACCTGCAGTCAGGAAGAACTGAGGTCAAATTTAGCCTCAAATACTGTATGACCCTGGGCAAGTTACCTAACCTCTCTGACATGTGGATACATGAATATCCTTGCAGCCAAGTGAATTTTTGTCCCCAAAGCAGTATGGGGATTCTACCCAAATCTCTTATAAGCCTATGGAACATCTTGTTTGTGACTCAAGCTCTTTTATTTGGGCTATGAGGATAGATGTGTGTGTGTTTACATATAAATATATACACGTATAAATATGTATAGACATATACATATACACATCTATATATATATATATATATATATATATATATATATATATATATATATATGGAGGTATATAATGTGTGTATATATGTGTATGTGTGTATCTACATGTACATATATACTCAACCAAACATGATCTTACCCTCCAGTTTAAATAAATCCCATCTCTCACCAAACTGAATGATTGTTTTACCTCCTACAGATCATATGTAAACTGTATTTTGGGGAGGGGACTGGGTATGTGATCTCATTGGTGTAGGGAGCTTCCAGAGAGGAAGTCCAGGTTGCTACCTGCTCTGAAACTTATAGTCTTAAAGCATTTCCTGTATAAACTGTGTAAAACCACTCTTAAATAATCATTCTCACCATGGAGGAAGGAGTTGGTCCTCAATTCCTGGGATGGCTAAACCAACCAGGTGTTCTCTCTCTTTTCCTGGGTTTATGCTTCTGGGTTTAGCTGACTCTCTAGGAGGGGAAAAGCCAGGAGAGGGAGGGCAGTGCTATTTGTCTTCCTAAATGGAGAAGAATCCTCTCAGGGCTGAATTACATTCCCACTTTGCCCCACACTTCAGCTATCTCTCTGCCTGCTGCTTTACCACTGTACTTCCTGGACCAGAGGCCATGCCCTGGGGGATGTAACCCTTTGAGCTTTAGGATTCCACCCCTTGGGCCCACACTGCCCTTGAAGGGCAAGAGCCTCCCATGGCCTACTCTATCTAGCTGGCCCCAGCCATGCTTTACTTTACACCTTTCACACCTTCTTGCCTTCCACTCAGCTACCAGGCATGTGTCCTCCCCTCTCTACCTCCTTTTTTCAGTTCTGGGACAAAGTCGAATAAATATGGGCACTGTTACTGGATCTTCCCCGCTATGACTCTGTTCACCACCTTTGTGTTTTACCCAAACCAGAATATCCCTTCCTGGCCACCACTCATGCAATCTCCATGAAAACAAAGTTTGTCTACAAAGTTTGTATTCTGTTCCTGCCTCCCCTCCCAGCATGTAGCACAGTGCTTGGCACCCAGTGAGTGCTTAATAAATGTATGTTTATCCATTCATTAATTCACTACCACTTTCAATGCTTAGATGAAATGCTTAATCAAATTTAAAAGCTTAAACAAAAGTTAAGGTTTATTCAGAAACAGGAGAGGGGAAGACAGTGGAAGATTCAACTTTTCAGAGGTTTATACAACCCTTCAAAGAACTGAAACTACTATTGAGGTTTCCTGCCACCAGCTGTTGGCAGATGCCTTGGGTGCATGGTCCAGACCAGTAAGTTTAAATGAGAGGTTGGAACAGTGAACAAAGCACTGGCTCTGGGGTCAGAGGCTCTGGATTCAAATGTGTTTCTGATATTTACCACCTGTGTGACTTTGGGCAAGTCCCATCCCCTCCTTGAGCCTTAGTTTCTCCCTCTGTAAAATGAGAGGCTTGGATTAGAGGGCCTCAGAGAGCCCTTCCAGCTCCATATCTGAGTATATGAGTGCCAGATCTAGAAGGGAGCTTGTAATCCAGCTCTCTCCTTTTACAGAGAAGGAAACTGAGGCTCCGAGAGGGGAAGGAACTTACTCAAGGTCACATAGGTCATAAGGACAGAGGCCAGCATTTGAACCCATAACCTTTGACTTCAGATCCAGTGCTTTTTGCAGTATACCATGGAGTTTCTCAAGGGTAGTTTTCCTTCAGATGGAGTTAAGCATACATTCCTGTCTTTAAAAAAAAGTAGAATAAAAAATGATTGAAAGAATTGAATGGTGTTTTCATCACAAGGTACTTGCTCTGGCCCCATCCTTGTCTTTCCTTACACCTGTATCAAGTAGCCTCATGCAGCTGGTGCTGGATAGGAAACAGCCCTGCTCTCTGAGCTTCCAATGAGAAAGAGAAAACCCTGATTGAAGAGATCTTGAAACAGGCTTTTATTGAAATCAAGTGACTCCCCAAGGTTAAGCAAGCTACAGTGTGTAAAAAAAAAACCCAAAAAACCAAAAAGCTAAAAAAAACTTTAAAAAATCCACATCTCCTAATATTTAGTCATGTTCAGTGCACTGGAGATATCACCTCTGAATTTCTATACATCAGGGAGACAAAAGAAGCCCTGGCACCAAGGCTTAATTTTTGTACCTCATTGTCTCCTTTCTAAACAAAAGCTCTCTCCAAAAATCTTCTGAAATAAATGGCATGTCCACAGAAGTAAATAATGAATTAGAGTTAAGAGCAAGCTACTAAGAGGCCAGATAAGGAAGAAAAAAAATGTCCTCTAGTGAGAATGGAAGAAAAATGAAAGTTGATGAGATGGAGAAACCATTGGCTAGTTACCCCAGGGGGCAGAACTGCCCCCAAATAGTATTTTCAAAGATTAGGCATTAGAGGAAGAGGGGTTCTCACAGCTGAGTGAATTGTGAAGGAAGTAGATCGGGAGCAGATTCTTGAGAAAACTTTAGGTTAGGATGCTTATTTGGAGATGGTTAAAAATGAAGTGGAGAGAACACTTCCTCCCCTCTGCCACAGAAAACACTTTTGGTTGCTCCTCCTCTTTCAAAAAATGGATGCAGAACTAGGGAAATTCTTGAAAAGATGCTGAAAAAGATGCCTGTTTCTTTGCCCATACAAGACCTTGGGAAGGTCTCAAAATAAAGGAATGGGAAGCTTCCCACCAGGAATGAAGTTCCCCTAACAAGGGCCGATAGGACTAATTTTTCAAAAGGAAGAGATAGAGAGAATACTGCCTGTACAGAGCTACCAAGAGTACAGCTGTAATGAAGACCAGCTGTCTGAGACACCCAGAAATTCACAGGAGAGAAAATTCATAAAAGGCAACAGTAATTAAACCTCTGGCCTAAGATGTCTATAAACAAACACACAAGCAAGATGAACTACAGACTGTAATGAAATGAGGCAAATTTAACCTCAAGTAGGTATCGCTGACACTTGGTGGAATGAAACCTATGACTTGAACAAGGCTCTGAGAGAATATAGCTTATTCAAAAGAAAGATAAAAGGGTGTGGGGGGGAGAGGGTAGCACTATACATTTAGGAGACCTATTCATGTGGGGAGGAAGCATAGTAGAGGACACTGGGATCAATGGAGGAGGAAGAAAGAATGATTTTGTCATTGGGGTATAGTATTAAATTCAAATAGAAACAGGGCCAATAACCTTATATATAAGGATCTCTGTAGGCTGCATATTGGTTT